CTGGAGGTAGAGCCATTTTCACCCTGTTGTCATCATCCCCTGCACATTTATAGCAAACTTTTATTCACATTTAGTGTGCAAAAGGTCAAGTGTGTTCAAGGTCAGTAGAGTGAAGATTGCAGTCAAAAGAGTTCTGTTTACTTACTCCTTCCAATTCCAAGTGGATAATCATATTTACCGTGGCAAATTAACATATTTGAATAGTTATAAGAGCTTTAAGTATTATTTTAGGGTCTTTACAGTATAAAACACCTTGATGCAGCTGTTATTGTGATTTGGTACCATACAAATTGAACTGATTTAAATTAATCTCAACACAACATGCAAAAAAATCATGAAATAAAATATATATGGACAGTTTAAGGCCAGTTAAATATCTTGCTGTATTTTATGTTCTTATCTATGAGTCACATTGAAACCTCTGGTCAGAACACTGTTTACCTCAGCTCTCAGTCCCGAGTGAGAATTGTTCTCATCTATTTGCTCTGGAGAAACCTGGTAAATCTTTGCAAAAGGAATCCAATACAAGTCGATGAGTCATTGAAGCTCACTTTGGACTGATGACGGCAATACTGAGATGATACTGTAGTTGAGGATATGCTGAACTTTTCTGCTGGTTAGCACTGGTGTTTGTGCTGCTGTAGGCTATTATAAGCTACTGTTAGTTGGCAATAGTGAAATTTAAGTGCTACAATATTGAGAATAGATAAGAAGGTTTATGCAAATTTTTGTTAGAGCCCTGATGAGGTGAGGAGGAAGACGATGCCATTTTATTCCGACGTTGTTGGTGTTGTTGTCTCTTTCCTTGGTGTTTTTGCTTTCTTGGTGACTATAAAAAAATGAGAAGGAAGCTTCTTATCTTGAGTCTGAAATCAGACTCATTCATGTGCCTGTACCTTTGATGTAGTACGTATGAGGACACGGCAGCTTCCACAAACCGGCGCCTACTCCTATGTATTTTTAATGGATTCATTTTAAATTCATGACAATGTATGAGTTTATTGGAATATGTAATTACATGCTAATCTATGCATACATATCATTACTATCTCCCTTTTTTCTATTAAATAACCTAAAAGAAATTACTGACTACAACTTTAACAACGATTTTAAATAAGTTTAAGGGAACTTGAAAGTTGGAAGATACCAGATTGTAATATAAAGCATTCATTTAGAGTATTTTTTTTTCTTTTGTCATCGTGACATTCTGATGAATTCAACATGTTTAATATTCTATTTTGTCAATCACGTGTCAACTTCCAACTCATCTTCCCTCAGCCACTGTTGTGTTTATGTTGAGTTGTGTCTTCTCTTTTTTCTTTTTAACAAACCATTGAAAAGTCAAAGCATCTTCTCTCTTGTTCAAGAGTTTTTCTTCTTGTTCATTTCCACCGGGAGCATTGTAAAGCAAGTGAATCTACCTTTAGTCTTGCAAATTGTGACCCTGCTAGGTCCCCAGACACTGACAGATATAGTCTATGATTAAAAACTTGGCCTTGTGATATATTGTCATGTCACACTGAGAGAGTTCCAGACTTTTGTCTTAAATAAGGGTTTTCAAAGTTTTCTAGTATATGGTAGGCAGAGTATAGAGTGTTGAAGTCTACCAAAACCAGCATTTTTAAATTTAGTTTAAAAAAATGCAATTTATGTGGTTTGACAGTTTAACCTAGCTTTATTTGTTGTCACAATATTTTTTTCTTTGTTTTAATGAGGGTTTCTCAAGCAAGTGAAAAAACCTCTATACCTTGGAATGGTAGGCACTCAAAAATCAAAGGCAAGGTTATACCTTTTCTAAAGGTTGTCAAGTGAAAGCACTTTTAAGGGGTGTACAGAGAGGAAGGTGGCAGGCTATTGCTTACCACTATATTCTGTTCACTGTTAAAATAGCCATAGAGGACAGAATATTGCTGTGTGATGTCAATATAGCAAATCTAAGCAGCGTTTATAAAGACTGAGTACATTCAAGAAGCTAGCACATCACACCACATCATGAAGACCCTGGAAAGGCTCATCCTGGACCAGCTGCGACCCATAGTAAGACCACATCTGGATCCCCTTCAGTTCGCTTATCAGCCTCGTCTCGGAACTGAGGACGCCATCATCTACCTGCTCAATCGTGTCTACACCCATCTGGACCAGCCGGCGAGCACTGTGAGGGTCATGTTTTTTGACTTTTCCAGTGCTTTCAACACCATCAGGCCGACCCTCCTGGGTGATAAGTTAGCAGCGATGCAGGTGGATGCTTCTCTGGTGTCCTGGATTGTTGATTACCTGACAGGAAGACCACAATATGTACGTCTCCCACAGTGTGTGTCTGACAAGGTGATCAGCAACACAGGGGCACCACAGGGGACTGTCCTCTCCCCCTTCCTCTTCACCCTCTACACCACAGACTTCAGCCACTGCACAGAGACCTGCCATCTTCAGAAGTTTTCTGATGACTCTGCGGTGGTTGGATGCATCAGCAGGGATGATGAGACAGAGTACCGGGCTGTGGTCGACTCCTTTGTCACGTGGTGTGAGCAGAATCATCTGCAGCTCAACGTGGCAAAGACCAAGGAACTGATCGTGGACTTCAGGAAGACCAGGAAACACTTGACCCCTGTTTCAATCCAGGGGGTCAGTGTTGACATTGTGGAGGACTATAAATACCTTGGAGTACACATTGACAATAAACTGGACTGGGCTAAAAACACCACAGCACTTTACAGGAAGGGCCAGAGTCGTCTCTATTTTTTGAGGCGACTGAGGTCCTTCAACATCTGCCAGAAAATGCTGAGGATTTTCTATGAGTCTGTTGTGGCCAGTGCGATCCTCTATGCTGTTGCATGCTGGGGGAGCAGGCTGAGGGTCGCAGATGCCAACAGACTTAATAAACTAATCCGTAAGGCCAGCAATGTTGTGGGGATGGAGCTGGACTCCCTCAAGGTGGTGTCGGAGAGGCGGATGCTGTCCAAGATAAAGACAATGTTGGATAACACCTCCCACCCACTCCATGACATGCTGGTCAGTCACAGGAGCTCGTTCAGTGAGAGACTGAGATTACCAAAAGCACCACTGAACGACACAGGAAATCATTCCTGCCTGTGGCCATCTCCCTGTACAACGCATCCACTTAACACACTGTTTGCTGCTACAGCTACACATGTTTCTTTTCCAACTATTTATTTATGAGTGACTTATGTATGTATGTATGTATATATATGTATATATTGTACTATTCTTAGTTAGTGTATTGTCTGTCTTGTCTTAATGTTGGTTTAAAATGGAGCACTGTAACAAAAAATAATTTCCACCAGGGATCAATAAAGTATTCTGATTCTGATTCTGATTCTGATAGCTGAGATGCCATCCAGACTGGAAGCCCTCTTTCTGAGACCTTTTTCCTCTCGTGGTCTCAAACTCAAACATGATACCATTGCTAATGATATCAGCTAACCCGTCCTTTGCAGTAGTACATCTGGTATGCATCACAACACTGTTCAGAGGAAAGAAAAGAAAATGAACTTTAAAAACGTGAGTCAGATCTACCCTCAGTCTGTCTCTGTCTCCGTCTGGTTTGTTAGCAGTGACTAAATGTCTCTCTGTGGTTGGCTGTCTGTGTGCTTCACTCCCTGCTGTGTTCCTAAGTCTTATTAAGGACTGGATCTTCTTGCAGTTACACTGATATTGTGGTGTTGTTGTTGCTGCTTTCTATCTAGACACTTCTTCATTTTAATTTTCAGTATACACACAGCTACATCCATATACTGTACCATTATGCATGTTAGCTTCAATGGGTAAGACCCCAGTCATGCAGTGTGAGAGTGTGAGTGTGCCCTACTGATTAGAGTAGTGGCTGGCAGTTGCATTGAACTGAGCTACTAAAGCCTCATTTATGCAATGACACCGGTCCGCGAGAGGCTGGTAACCACCATTCGGTACCTCCAGCAACCTCCAGCAAGCACTCATCATCACTACCGTGAAACTGGTTTCAAATAGAGGTTTCAAATAAGGTGCTACACTGAATATCTCATTGTGATTGCTTTGGTTGCTAGCAGGTTGCCAGGGTTACCAACAGTTTGCATGGAACATGCTAACTTGCCTACAAACACTCACAAACCACTCACCAAGGGTATTTTCTTTAAACAAGCTGGTTGTGGTGTTCTTTTACTTTATAGAAATTGATGAGGGTATCCCCTTTGCATTTTTATTAACATATATTTGTCATGTTTTCCACATGGGAGATTTGACCTATAAGTCACGGCTGTTCTGAAATGAGCAAATCCAAATGAAATAAAGCAAATTAAAAGAACAGCTGTTCCCAGTTTGGGACAGCTGGTCCCAAAGTAGTTTAAAGAGACTGGATCCACATCTGTAATTTTGTTCTGTGAACCACAACCACTACATTGGCATCAACTTTCCTCTAAGTCGGCATATCATGCTGATATAATATGTGTTTCTTGGGCACTCTATTGGCTGACAACGAAATGTAGATTTGTCCAGCATTCCATTTGTTAGCTATTTGGTAAGAAATACGACAGAACCTGCTTGATTATTTTGGGGTATTGTCTAGAGGTGGACGTATCAATCTAAATATCAGCAGTATCGATAGAAATGCTAGTGCGATATAATCAATACTTTATTTCTATCGTCCAAGTTCAGTATGTAGCTCACTGAATTGTGTAAAATTATTTTTTGGTGGTGGAAATGAAAAAATATACCTCAAAGATGCCCTGTGAACAAAGTCTGAAACTTTTTGTGTTGACTTTCAAGAGTATTTTTTTAGCATTGATTTTTTAAAGTGTTTAAATACATGAAAAGTTGAAAGGTGTGTTTTACTATGTAAACTAGTTATTGTGACTGTCTTTATATGTTAAAAATATCAGTATAAATATTGGTAAAATATTGGTATCAGTATCAGCATTACTGCCCATTTATTTACTTGGTATCGAATCAATACAAAATCTACTGTATCACACATCACTACTACTGCTAGAAACTGTGGAGACAGAAACTTGTTTCAGGATTTTTATTCATTTCCATAACAAGCTAAGGTGTTTCTTCTAATCTGAGTTTGAGACAAGCAAGAAAGTTAGTGGGTGAGCCGGGCCTTATATAGTGCAGATGATTAAGGTATGTCCACCGGAGATCCAACAGGATCCAGCAGTAGGAACGCCCATCAGAGGACCACCAGAGTCCCTGTTAAAGAAACATACACACACTAAACAGCAAGACAGAGGCAGAGAGAAATCGTCAGCTGGCACTGAGGGCAAGCAGGGTCCACGACAGGAACTCTATAAACTCTCAAAGCTTTGTGTAATGTTAATGTATCCCTGGTTTGTTGCTCCAGCCCTGATCAATTTCCTCTCTGTGATAAATAAATATAAACTTTGCTCCATGCTACTCTAAAGTCGCAGCACTCTACAAAGAGAAATATGTCCTAACCCAGTATATAAAATCCCCTCCCATTATGTCACGTCTCTTTTTGCCCAAGCATATTGCAAATATCTAACTCCTGATCCATTAATTATCACTGTGGAACAAGACTATAAATTGTGCTTGTAGATGTCACTGTGCGCGTTGTAAAAGAGATGGAGACAAATGGGGACTAAAGTTCTTTTAGATCTGAGCTTTCCTGCCCACTCCGACATGTGGGAGGAATGGGAGGAAGGGAACAGATTGATAATGACTTGTAAGGGAATCACAAGTGTTACTGCAGACCATGTGAGCAGATTCTTCCCAGCTTGAAATGGTCAGTTGCAGTCAGGGAGAAATTTAAAAGGTTATGGGCATTAGGTGAGAAAATGTGCTCATAATGAGAGCCGGTCATAAATAAATTGGAAATGGCTTTAGCTGTCAAAACAGCTCACGATTCACTTGGCTTAAGAAGCCGCCTAAATTTAATTTTCACAGCACCTCTTGCACGTTTTCATTTATCCTTTCCACAGTGTAAACAAACATAATTTCCTGAATCATCTGGCTGACCCACTCAGTTTCATAACATAAATAATCTAGGAATTAGTTATGGTTGCAGATCGATAAATGCTGGCTTTACCCTTTAAATTTTTTACTGAAAGAAGACAAATACGTGCGATGAAATTACATCATGGCTATTCCTGATGCAACTAACGCTAACACAACTGTTGTTGTCAGATAACATCAGATTTCACATAACAGGTGTGCAAATCAAAAGGGCAAGGCCCCCTCAAAGATAATCACATCACCTGCCCAATAGGTAGTGCCCTTAGCTGTCAGCTGCTATTTATTGTGCTTTTAAAAATTTAAAACATTTTTTCGCTGCTCTGTATATCTACTTGAGAAATGTATGTTTGCCAGGAAATCTACATTATAGTTGTATCTTTGTTGTTAGTTGTACTCAGCCCGTCGTGTAAGATTTCCATCTCAGTTTTGGCTCTGCTTCAAATTGAGAGCTGGGTGCTTGCTCACTGAAAGCTGCATTAGAGGCTACATTTGGGAGGATGGACTTTAATGCTGTATAGTACACATATAAAGAGTGCAGAGTTTAATACAAAATCTGCACTTTTCAACTAGGCTGCATGAGAACTACTGTAATATTGTAGTATGAAGAGGTCGAGGTTCACTCGGTGTGCCAGAGGGAGAAAACCAAGGGAGCCTGGAGTGACATGACCTCTTGGGTCAGTGTGGATTGATTATAATTCATATAACACAAGTATTTCTGTTCTATTATGCAGGTGGCGCCAACATGCACTTAATATTTAATTACAAGGAAGCAGTTATGCTAATTTCCAGTGTGATGCTGCTAGCTTAGATTTAGAGTTAGAAACCTCTGCCTGAAACACGTCATTTTAGTTACTAATGAAAAATTGTTGAAAGGTTTAACCTTTGTGAGAAACCTATGATTACAGCTGATGTTGGTAGAGTTTGAAGAACTGTGCAGTGGTAACTCAAGGGTCACAACAGCTTCTACAGTTGTGTGAGATTTCAGTTTAAAACATTTTTACAAATTATAAAAATGTAAAATGTTTTACATTCCGTATGAAAACATGGCTGAAAGAGCTTCCATTCTGCAGTCAGTAAGCTGTGTGAAAATTAAATAGCAGTCAGGGAGTCATTTATTGAAATAGATTAGATAGAAAAAGCTTGTTTCTCAAGTTTAGTGCTTTGGGGATTAGCCTTCAGTTGTAAATCGCAATCATCATTATTATTATTTTTAATTATCATTTCAAGTGTGTTTTCTCTATAAATACATTTATTCATACTAGTGTTATAGTCCTGTAAATTGAAATGAGCATGTAGCTGTATGGTGGGCAAACTGCCAAAGTGTTATGTCTGAGACGACTATATGTGGCATATCTGCTTGAAGTAGCAGACAGAGGAAAGAGCAGGAAAAAATATCTAAAATGGAGCATGGAGCACTGAAGTCTGAGGTTTTGGCTCACAGGGACAATGTGTACTTGTATGATTGCCAGTTAATAAATCAGAAGAAACATGTGTCAGTCTGCATATACTTCTGCCACTTTATTATACAGGATATACCTTTTCAGCTGCGTGTTAACTAAAGACCTGCTGAAGTTTAAACCAAGCATCAAAACGGGGAAGAAAGGTGATTTACAAACTGAGGTTAAAACTTGCATGAGCTCAACAAAATTGGGCAATAAAAGTTTGGAAAAATGTAGTCTGGTCTACTGAGTCTTGATTTCTGCTGCGACATTCGGATGGCTTGGTTGGAACTTGACGTAGACAACACATCGTTCCTTGTTCAAGTGGTTCAGGCTACTTGTGGTGTATTGGTGTGATATGTTGTGGCACGTTACCAACAGAGGAAATATCACAGCCAAGCTGAGCATTGTTGCTGACCATGTCCATCCCTTTATCTTCCAGTCTACTGAAAAACTTTGAAAATCAACTTTTATCAAGGTGTCTTCAGTTCTGCGTTAGCTCATAGCAATCCCAGGCATCTTGCTAGCAGTGATGGTGGTGAAGAGAAGATTTCACATTTAAGTTATCAGTCAGTGTACTGTTTTGTTTGAAAATCCATCCAGGAAATGGATTTATTCATAAGAAACTATACTTAATTGACCTGAAATTGCAGTTTAGAGACAGTTTAATAAGAGGGGAAAAACCCATGTTACGTTCCCCTAAAAGGGTCCAGGCGATAAGGGGAAGTAACAAACAGTGCGCAGGTCAGAACAAGGAGACAGAGGCAAAATGCTTAAATAAAAGAGTTTTATTACGGTTTCCATTAATAACTCAAATAAAATCTGGTGGTTGTAGCTAGTGAGCCGTGTTTTGTGATTGCTTGAGTGCCTACAAAGCGGCCTCATACGGCGTGCGGCGAGAGATGCCAAACGCCGGTACCGGGAACGTGTGGAGTCCCACTTCCACCAGGGCGACACACGGAGTATGTGGCACGGACTACGCACCATTACGGACTACAAAGCCAGGGACACTGCGCTGATCAACGCTGACTCTGCATTCACCAACGAGCTGAATCGGTTCTACGCCCGTTTCGAGGTTAGCCAGGCGGCTAATGCTATCTACCGCCTGACTACCGAGGACAGTGACGTCATCAGCGAGAGACCGGTGACCAGCATCGCGGAGCATGACGTCCGAGCGGCACTGAGGAGAGTGAACACAAGGAAAGCGGCGGGGCCAGACGGCATCACCGGCCGTCTGCTGCGCTGCTGTGCTGACCAGCTAGCAGGTGTGTTCACTTACATCTTCAACGAGTCCCTGGCGAAGTCTGTGGTCCCCACATGCTTCAAAAGATCCACCATCATCCCTGTGCCCAAGAACAGCAAACCCTCATCCCTGAACGATTACCGGCCAGTTGCACTGACCTCGGTAGTAATGAAGGTGTTTGAGAGGCTGCTGAAGAACATCATCTCCTCCTCCATCCCAGACACCACAGATCCGCTGCAGTTCGCCTACAGATCCAACAGATCCACAGAGGATGCCATCGCCCACGTCCTACACACCACTCTCAGCCACGTGGACAAGAAACAGGGTAACTATGTGCGAATGCTGTTTGTTGATTACAGTTCAGCGTTTAACACAATAGTGCCCTGCAGACTGTTCACAAAGCTGAGGGATCTGGGACTTAACAGCCGTCTGTGTGCATGGGTGTTGGACTTCCTCACTGGCAGAACTCAGGTGGTGAGGGTGGGCAGGTGCTTCTCCAACAGCATCACCATCAACACAGGAGCACCTCAGGGATGTGTCCTCTCGCCACTGCTCTACTCCCTCTACACTTCAGACTGTGTGGCCACCCATGGCTCCAACACCATTGTGAAGTTTGCTGACGACACAGTGGTGTTGGGTGCCATCTCCAACAACGATGAGGCGGCCTACATGGATGAAGTGAAGAATCTGGCATCGTGGTGCCAGGACAACCACCTCCAGCTGAACGTCAGCAAGACCAAGGAGCTGGTGGTGGACTTCAGAAGGGGTCAGCACAGAGACTACAAGCCCATTATCATCAATGGAGCTCCAGTGGAGAGGGTGCAGTCCTTCAAGTATCTTGGTGTCCACATCTCCTCAGACCTGACATGGGCTGCCCACATTCAGGTCCAGACCAAAAAGGCTAGGCAGCGCCTGTATCACCTACGACAACTGAGGAAGTTCAGGGTCTCTCCAAAGATCCTCAGGATTTTCTATACAGGCGCTGTGGAGAGCATCCTCACACAGAACATGACATCGTGGTTTGGGAACAGCTGTGTGAAGGACCAAAAAGCTCTCCAGAGAGTGATCCGTACAGCAGAACGCTGCTGCAGGATTGCTCTCCCCCCGCTTCAGGACACCTACACCAGGAGATGCCAGGACTAGAGCAGCGCAGATACTGAAGGACCCGTCCCATCCTGGCAACAAACTGTTCCAACTTCTGCAATCTGGTAGAAGGTTCCGCATCTTCCGGGCAAGGACAGAGAGACTCAAGAGGAGCTTCTATCCCCAAGCCATCCGTGCCCTAAACACACACACCCGCCCTCTCACATCATCTATAATTGACTGAGACAGGACTCTTCCAGACACTAAACCAAGGCACAATGTACATTTCAATTCCTTTAATTTTAAATATGTTTATATTGTCTATCCTGTAAAATAGTCAGATGTCTATTCATATTAATGTACAGAATTCACCTGCTTGCTGCTACTACTGCACATTCACCCAGTGTATATACTTTATATATATATATATATAATGTTAATAATAAATATAT